TTTAATAATATAATTTTTTATAAGGATAATAATTAAGAATTTTGTTAGAACTCAATGATTATTCTAATTATATTTTAAAAAAATTATATTTAAAATAAGATATTTATCCGGAATTTGATTATATTTATCTGCATTTAGTTATACGAATTCAAAAATGGAGCTTTAATAAGTTGTACTTACGCACAATTTACTTGTAATCTTAAATTTTAAGTAATATCATTAATAAACAGTACTTCCTGCAAAAAGCATGGTTTTTAAGAGTTTTTATCAAATGTTTTATAATATAGTATAGATATGAAGATAATCATCGTTTGAGGAGAAAATATCAAAGGGTGTGGATGGATTAGAAATAACCAATCAATTTAACACTTCCGATTGATTATCAGTGGAATTACGTATACGTTTTATTTTATTTTTATTCAACTCACTGAGTTTTTTATTGTAGTTCACGGTTTTCGCGTTATGAACTTATGATTTTGTATTATAGTATGTAATGTTTCATGACGGGTTCATCCGGTATACAAATTCTCAAACATTTACCCATATGTGGATAGCTAATACCAATATATACATATATAGATCGTTTACCGTATTACCTCAACTGAAACCCTAAGTAATATATATGTGATTAAGGACACATAGGAATATATTAATATGCTATAGTTATTATCGTCTTTAAATGCAATACGTAACATATATAAAATACAAACAAATTAGGAGAAACATTTTATTGATAAATTCCATGATCTAATGTTCGAAATTACCGCTGACGTTTGGCCATATACGAACACTTAGATGGCAACACAAATGAAAACAAGGTAGTGCCAATTTTTCAGCAACTAAAGTCGATGAAGATTCAACTGGTATATATGAGATACAAAGGTTTATAGCTCCTTGGAGACTAGGGGTGTTTGTGGTTTAGTTTGGGCAGTTTAACCCCTCAGATCACAAACCAAATCGTAATGGCGGGTTATAAAATTTTCAAACCGAGCTATTTGACATCAAGTGCCCAGACCGGTCAAACCAGACCATGAAAATGCGGTCTGGTCTGACTGGTTTAGGCCTTTAATGAACTTTAAATAGTAAACTTAAAAAAACATATATAATTTATAACCTTATATTAAATATCCATCTCGATTATGTTAGATGTTAGGCTTTATGTTGGGTTTAGGTATATATATGAGCTATAGCCCATAAGTTAAAAAAATTGGACTTGCTAATACTAAAATAAATAATTAAATTATATATATAGGAGCGATAAAATGAAAACCACTCTCATTTGTACAAACCACCCCATACGTCGATTTCATTGTTTAATCTTATGAAATTTTTTCATGAAATTGTTTAATCTTGTAAAATTGTTTCATATAATACTTTTTTTGATGAATTTGTTTCATATATGGTTATGAAATTGTTTTTATAATATTTAATGAAATTTTAATGAAACTGTTTCATGTATTTTTCTAAAATTAAAATAATGACGATGATAATATCCATGATTAACACTCTCCACAATAAAAATGGTAAATCAACCTATCATAATTACAAAAAAATAAACAAAATGAAAAATTATGATTGGTTGAATGTGGTTTTCACGGTTTGTATAAATTGAGTGGTTTTTATTTGAACGCTCCCCTAGATATATATATATATATATATATATATATATTTGGCGGTCGGTTTGGTCCAAACCGCCCAAAAAAGGTTCCAGACCCCAGACCGGACCGCCCGGTTTTGCTATTTTCCAAACCGCCAAAATTAGTCTAGTTTGACTTGGTTCGACCGGTTTGAGCGGTCCAGCGGTTTTTTTTGAACACCCCTACTGAGGACATTGTTATCCTAAGAATAAACTTTGGTTGATTAATGATTATTCGGAATCATGATTACATATTCAATTTTAATCAATTCCCCCAGTGGGTTCATGTAGTTGTATTATAATACGTCAAGAAATCTAACCATTTGAGAAGCTTATGAGCATTATTACTGATTTTACTGAATGACAATGCATGGTATGAAAAGGAGGTATGTTCTTTGAAAATCAGATGTTTGAGAAATTCCAATGTATGTTCAAATGTATATGTACTAGCAAATTCAAGTGTAGATCATTGGATGAACAATATATGTTTAGACATTTATGGCAGTAGTAAATAATCAGCTGGCGAAAATCAAAAGATAATCGTTTACGCAAAATTGGTCCACGAAAATCTATTGCATGGATTCGAGGAGATAAAAGGGGTGGAGGGGTTACTCGTCCCAAGTGAAGTCCAACGTGTTTGATAGGTTGTGATTCAAATCTCAATTATTATTCGTTGACTGTCATAACATCTAAAACACGTTATTACAGAAGGCAACTAAAGTCATGATTAACATACAATGACATTTGTAATTTATTGATTGAAATCTGCTAACAGATGATTATGTATTTGAAAACTATAAATATTTACAAATCTATAACACTGGCGATTTGATAAGATCGTTTAGCTATTGATAAGCTACTGCATCTTGCGGTACCTTCTGTAGTATCTTGTTAATGTCATTTAGTTTTAATTTTAATTTCATGTTGCTTTCCAGAATAAATTGTTTTATCGAGCATAAAAAGGAATGCAAATGGTTGTGTTCTCCTGTAGATAAATAAAAAGTCAAAATCATCAGTATTTGAAAGTCAACTTAATCCAAAAATTCAAACATAGTCGGGGGCTTTCTAGACTTTTTAGCTTCCATCATTAATGACCTTAACACTTCCTTAACTAAGCTAACAGAGACTTTTACATCTCATTTGCAAACTAATTGATAAGTTAGTTGATAACTGATAAATTAATTCGTAGCTGATAAGCTTATTGCTAAACAAATCATGGTTGACAAAAACTAGCTAATAAACATGTAAAACGACCAAAAATGATATCTTAAAAAATTAGTCAATTACAATATTTTATAATATAATTATTGCATGTCTCTAATAATATAAAATATTAATTAATACAAATAAGTAAAGAAAAACTAATTAGTCCAACCATTGATCCCGAAAATTTCTACAATAAATTGGGGTAGGTCACTAATGGAGTTTCCTAAGTTAATTATTTTATATATATCTTAAAAAATTGGATTTTTTTAAAACAATTTTTAGAGAGAAAAAATCTACATTAATTTATGATTTTTTAAATACTATTACATATAATATGAATAAAGTAAAATTGGTCAACATCACATATCAT